GGAGGAGAGAGAGGAAGGGACCGGGACGCACTTGGGCTGGTTGCGGTGGTCTTTTGCGAGTTGGCGTGCTGCGGACCCTCAAACCCGAGTCAGCAACTTCCTCTGAACCCGCCTCTGCCTCGCACGACGACCCGACCCGAACCCGAGCGGAAGAGAGGAGGAAGCGCGCTCGAGACGCACCGAAGCATCGACCATGACGGCGGGCAAGAAGTCGAGTTCGGGCTTGGAGATCTTGCGGACCTGGTCGACGGCGCTGTTGACGCTGTCGGCGTCGTAGTTGGTGCCGCGCGAGCCGCCGCGGAGGATGACGTGCACGTCGCGGTTGCCTGGTTGTCGTCGGCGCGAGAGGGAGAGGCCGAGGAGAGGAGGGAAGGGAGAGAGGGAGGGAGGGCGGGAGGGGGAGGAGAAGGGGAAAGGTGGGAGCGGGACGCGAGAGAGGGGGGAGGACGGCGAGAGAGGAGAGGAGCGTACAGGTCGAGGGAGGCAGAAGAAGAGTCAGTACGGCTCGGCCAGTCGAAACGAGCCCCGAGAGACACAGGGAGAGCGAGCGCTTGACGCACCCGCCGTGCGCACGATCGCGGCCAAGCCGCTCTCGGTGACGCCGAGGAACGCGTGCGGGTGCGCCGCCGACAGCATGGCGTCGACAGCGACGCCGAGCGAGCCGTCCGTGCCGTTCTTGAAGCCTGTCGACCCGGGTGACCCGTCAGGTTAAGCGCCCGCGCTCGCGCGCGCGAGGAGAGGGAACGAGGAGGGGAAGGGGGCGCACCGATGGGGAACGAGGCGCCCGAGGCGAGCTCGCGGTGGAGCTGCGACTCTGTGTGTGCGAGAGGGGGGTCAGTGCGGCGCGACGGCGACGACGACGACGAGGGGAGGAGGAGGAAGGAGAGGACGCACCAGTCGTGCGCGCACCGATGGCACCCCACGAGATGACGTCTGCGAGGAACTGCGCGTGCTCGACAGTCAGTACGTGGCTTCGGCAGGCGACGAAAAAGGGAGGAAGAGGGAGAGGGAGAGGGAGGACGGACCTGAGGCGAGATGGTGTCGAGCAGCTCGCACGCGACGGGGACGCCGCTCGCCGTGAGGTCGGCAAGGAGGGTGCGCGCGATGCGCAGGCCCTTGTTGATCTGGTACGAGCCGTTGATGTCGGGGTCGTTGATGAGGCCCTTCCAGCCGACCGTCGTGCGGGGCTGCGGGCGCGAGGGGCCAGGGCGGCGAGTCAGGGTCAGGGTCGTCGGGAGAGAGGCAAGGACACAGACCGTGTCGAGAAAAGGGTAGAGAGCGCACTTTCTCGAAGTAGGCGCGCATGAGGACGACGAGGTTGGGCAGGTTCTTTGCCTCCTCGCGCAAGAGGGCCGCGTACTCCTTTGCCTCGTCGACGTCGTGGATCGAGCACGGGCCGACGATGACGATGAGCTTGTCGCTGTCGCCGCGGAGGACCGACGCGACCTGGGCGCGCGACTTTGCGACGGTACGCTTCGAGGCGTCGCTGATGGGGATCTCGGCCTTGAGGAGCGCGGGCTGAACGAGGGGCTCGATCTGTCGGGTCGCGCAGAGCGGGTCAGTGTGTGTCGTCGTCATAGCGTTGGGAGGGAGAGGATGGGCGAGGGCGAGGAGAGATGCGCGTGTGCGGCAAAGGGCGGCGACGAGCGCACGCGGAAGAGGGAGAGGTGCTCAGGGCGCGGGAGGGAGAGAGAGGCGAGAGACGCACAGCATCGATGCGCAAGTTGTCGCCGTACTCCTCGTACGTCTGGTAGCTCGTGTCGCTGAGGATGCTCTGGCTCTCCATGGCTGCGAATTGGTCAAAGCGGGCGAGGTGATGAATGGGGAAGGGAAGGGGAGGAAGAGCAGGTCAGCTCGTTGGCCTGCACTGCTGTCGCTGCTCATGTTGTGCTGCCGGACCCGATGCACCGGTTGCAAGGTGACGGAGGTCGAGGCGGGAGCGATCAAGATGGATGGGGAGGGGAGGCGCGAGGGAGGGGGAGAGAGGGAGAGCGGGGGGCGCACCTGCTGTGGTGGCTGCTGTGGTGGGTGACGGCGGTGCTGGACTGGCTGCGAGTGAGAGCTGGCGGCGACGACGACGACGACAACGAGCCGAGGCGAGCTCTTTGACTTCGGCGAGCGCAACTCACCGCCTCGACCACCCCTCGCGGCGAGTTGGTTCTAGGCTGGTCGGGTGTGTCAAGCTACTCTAAGGGACCTCAGTCCGAGCCGAGTGCAGCAGAGAGAGCGAGTCTCAGCGTTTCGTCGCCATCGTCCACCAGAGAGGCGTCGTCACCTTGTCCCTCCGCTCACCACACACCGCACAGCACCGGCTGCACGCCACCCACCACCATGGCCCCCTTTGCGCTCACGCTCAAGCACGCGGGCAAGACGTACCCGCTCGCCGACTTTGACCCCTCCAACTCGGCCCTCGCGTTCAAGGACCAGATCTACCACCTCACGGGCGTCCCAGCCGACAAGGTCAAGGTCCCTGTAAAGGGCGGCATGCTCAAGGTGCGCACCTGCCTCCCCCTGCGCTCTCTCGTGGCGGGCGCCGACAGCTCACCCCGCCGCCGCCGCTCACAGGACGACGCCGACCTCTCCAAGCTCGCGTTCAAGCCCGTGCGTCCCTGCTTCCTCGCCCTAGTTCTCCAGGAACACGCATTGACCACCCCACCCGCGCGCGCAGGGCCAAACCGTCATGGTGCGCCCCCTCCCTCCCCTCTCTCTCTCCCTCCTCGAGCCCGCTGCTGACCTCGCGCGCTCGCAGGTCATCGGCCCCGCAGGACCGCTCCCTCAAGCGCCGACCAAGCCCGTCGTCTTCATGGAGGACATGACCGACACCGAGCTCGCCCAGACGGTGCGTCCCACCCCTCCCTTTCGAGGCGCCACAGTCGTGCTGACCCCTCCCTCGTCGCGCAGGCCAAGTACCCGGTCGGCCTGCAGAACCTCGGTCCGTCTCCTCTCTCTCTCCTCCGACGCGACGAGTTCCCAGACTGACCCTCGCTCGCGCGCGCAGGCAACACGTGCTACATGAACTCGACCGTCCAGGTCCTTCGCGCCATTCCCGAGCTGCAGGACGCCCTCAACTCGTTGCGTCCCTCTTTCTCTCCCACCCCCCTCTCTCTCTCTCTCGCACTCCCGACTGACCCGCATGTGGCGCCGACGCAGGTCGACCGACTCGACGAGCCAGCCCAACGCGCAGCTCACCCGCTCGCTGCGCGACCTGTACAAGTCGATGGGCCGTACGACCGAGGACTTCCCGCCCCTCTCCTTCCTCAGCGTGCGTCCACCCCTTCCTGTCTCTCGTCGCTTCTCCTTCTCTCTGCGCTCCCAAACCGCCTGACGCACGCCCGCCTCGGCCCCCACCAACCCCATTCTCGCAGATGCTGCGCCAGTTCGCGCCCCAGTTCGCCGAGCGCTCGCGCACGACGGGCCAGTACGCGCAGCAGGACGCACAGGAGGCGTGGGGCGCCATCCTCCAGGCGGCCAAGCAGAGCGCGCTCGGCGGGCCCTCGTCGTCGTCGTCGTCCGGGAACGCGGTCGAGCAGCTCATGATGGGCGAGTTTACCAAGACGTGCGTCCTGCGCCTCTCTCTGTGCCTCGTATGTGTTAGAGCGTGCACGAGGTGCTAATGACGGTGGACTGGACACACAGGCTCAAGAGCGCCGAGGCGCCCGACGAGGAGCCGACCGTGTCCAAGGAGGCGTTCCTCGAGCTCAAGTGCAACATCTCGTCCCAGACCAACTACATGATGCAGGGCCTGTCCGAGGTGCGCCCACCCGACTCTCCCCCCTCCTTCCTCGAGCGCGACTTGACGACGTCCCCCGCACGCGCCACAGTCGATGGAGCAAGACCTCGAAAAGACGTCGCCGTCGCTCGGGCGCCAGGCCGTGTACCACGAGCAGACGCGCATCAGCCGCCTCCCGTCGTACCTGACGGTCAACATGGTGCGCTTCTACTGGCGGCGCGAGATTGGCAAAAAGACAAAGATCATGCGCAAGGTCAAGTTCCCGTTCGAGCTCGACGCGACCGAGCTCGTGACGGACGACCTCAAGAAGAAGCTTGTGCCCGTCGGCGAGAAGCTCAAGGAGTGCGACAAGGACCGGCGCGAGCGGGCAAAGGCGCGGCGCAAGATGAAGAAGGCGTCGGACGCGGCGGCCGTCGCGGCTCAGTCGGGGTCGGCGGCAGCGCAGGACCCGAGCGCCGACCCGCCCGAGGAGATGGCGGTCGATCCTCCTGCTGCGGGCGAGGGGCCGGCGGCGGGCGAGCTCCCGGACGAGGAGACGAAGCGGCACGAGGAGCTCGCGACGCTCCTGTCGCTCGTGCACCCGGACCTCGACGCCGACAAGGGCGCCAACGTCAGTGGCCTGTACGAGCTCGTCGGCATCGTGTCGCACAAGGGCGCGAGCGCCGATGGCGGTGCGTCCTCGCGGCCCTTTCCCCTCTCCCTCTCCCTCTCCCTCTCCCTCTCCCTCTCCTTCGAGCGGCGCACTGACCCCCTCTCGCCCTCGCCCTCTCGTCTGCAGGCCACTACGTCGGCTGGTGCGCCGCCCCGCCTCCCTCGGACAACGGCGCCGCGCTCGACTTCGACTACGACAAGCAGGAGTGGTACAAATTTGACGACGAAAAGGTGTCGCTCGTGTCGCGCGACAAGATCCTTGCGCTCGAGGGCGGCGGCGAGGACCACTCGGCCTACATCCTGTTGTACCGCTCCAAGCCTCTCGCGTAGACGTCCCGTCGAGCCAAGATTTGCAGTCCATCTCTCGAGAGCTGTGCGCGAGCGAGAGAGAGAGCTCGAGAGAAGTGCTCGTCGTCGCTCATCACGCTTCGACTCTCGCTTCTCGCACGCGCCGAGCCTGCTTGACCGTCGAGCGTACGTCGTCCGTGCAGCTGCACGCCCTGCAGCTGCGCACGGTCGACCAGCCAGCCACCGGCGCTAGAACGCTGCACCGCCACGGTCGGCTCCCCCACCTTGCTGGCGACCAGCCACCTCTCCCGCCTCTCGCGCTGCGCTGCGCTGTGTCGGCCGCTGCCCACTCAGGGCGAGACACACACGCGTGCTCTCTCCTGTGTGACCATCACAGCTGCGACCTCTCCTGTCCAGCCTCCCGCACTTCCCGACGTGCTCTCGTCCTCTTGCCTCTCGTCACACCGCGCCGCACTCGAGCCTGCGACGCTCTCGCTGCACATCGACGGCTCGACACAACTACGACACGCCCCAGCAGCGACGACGCCTCGCTCGCCAGCTCTCTCCTCGCCCCACCTCGCCGCCAGCTCAAGGTGAGCACCGCATCTCTCTCCCAGTGCTCCTCGCCCTGCGTTCGCGAACGAGCTGACCCTGTCCACCCACCGCAGCACCCAAGCCCCGTCACGATGCCGTCCGCCTCTGCCCGCCCGTCTCGTTCGACCAAGGCCAAGGCCGCGCCCACCGTCGGCGCCGGCGCTCTCGTCACCAAAGCGCGCGTCTTCACGCCCGACGCCAAGCTCGTCGCCGAGTTCCGCGACGAGGCCAAGAGCATGATGGCGCGCCTGCCGCCGCTGCGCCCCGAGAGCAAGCTCGACCGCCGCACGGCCGAGGTGCACGTCCTGACGACTGTCGAGCGCCGCACGTCGGGCGGCCTGCAGGAGTCGCTCCAGTTCTGTGCGGCGGTCGACGCGAGCGGCAACGAGGAGAGCTGGATCGAGCGCACCGAGGGCGAGCGCCGCCTGTTCCCGCGCGTCCTCCAGGTCAAGAAGCGCCTGCGCAACGACGACGAGTACGCCCTCGCCGGTGCGGCCGCTCCAGCTGCCGAGGACGAGGACGGCGACGACGTCGACGAGCAGGTGGCGCCGCGCAAGGTCAGCAAGAAGGCCGCCGCCGGGACCGCCTCGTCGTCGTCGCGCAAGGCGCCCTCGGCGCCCAAGAAGCACCGCCGCGCTCCGCCCGCCAACGCCGATGCCGACGACCACGACGACGACGGCGCCGTCACCGAGACCGAGGCGCTGCGCCGAGCGCGGCACGACAAGCGCCGCAGCAGCGCGCGCCTGTCCGAGGCTCGCCGCGGCGAGAGCCTCGCGAGCAGCGTCGGGTCGGTCAAGCGCGAGCACGACGCCAACGACGACCTCGCGAGCCTGTGCGGCCGGGTCGACGGGCTCGAGTTCCGCGCGACGGTCGAGCCGGGTGCGTCCCCTCTTTCTCTCTCTCTCTCTCTCAAGAGCTGCGCGTCACGCACGGACCTCGAGCCCTGACATTGCGCCCGACCGCTGCAGATATCGAACCTGCGCAGCCCGTCGCCTCGTCGTCGCGCACGCGCCACTAGCAGGGCATTACCGGCAGCGTCGCCCGTCGGCGCTCGATCCGCCTCGTCCTCCTCCCTCTTCCTCGTCCTCGCCTTTCTTGTTCCCCTCAGCACACCTTTTCTCTTCTCCTCCTTCACGTCGTGACGTCCCTGTTGTGCTCTCACACGCCGGCTTTGTATCGCTGCACGTTCTCTCCCTATCTTTGCGGGCCAGCGTCGAGACGGAGAGAGACAGAGAAAGCTCTCCAAGGAGACGTTGCACGACGAGCGCGAGGTCGTTACAGCACAGAGTACAGATGCGAGGGGAGCGGGAGAGGGAGAGGGAAGCATGCACGTGAAGAGTGGAGGGGGAGGGGCACGGGAAGGGAAAGAGAGGGAGGGGTATCTAGAGGGAGGAGACCTGGCCGCTCACTCCTTGAGCTTCATCGCGGCACCGTAGCCGACGGCGACGGCCAAGACGACGACTGCTGCGCCGAGCGAGACCGAGAGCGGTTTCGGGTGCTGCGCGGCGGGGATACCGAGAGGGTCAGTGTCGTCCCCAAGCGTGAGAGGGAGAGAGAGGAACGTCGCCAACGCACCGAGACCTTGTCGCCCGCCCCCCGCACGCCCTCGGCACCACTCGCGCCCTCTCCCGCGCCAGCAAAGCGCCCGCCGAGCTCGCCGATCGTCGAGTCCGAGTCGCTCGCGGCGTTCTCGCCGCCGCGCGCCGACGAGAGCGGGTGTGCCGCGAGCCGGGCCGACCTCGCGAGCGGGGACGACGACGACGACGACGCCGCCGACGCCGAGGCGTTGGCGCTGTGGGTGGCGGCGAGGCCGGCGGCGGTCGAGGATGGCGCCGGGGTGGGCGGGACGGGCGTGAGGGACGAGCGCTTGCGGCGGCGCGACGAGCGCTTCTTGCGCGAGGCGGCGGCGGCGTCGGACGGCGACAGGCCGCGGTGCTGGCGGTGCAACGACGAGCCGTTGCCGCCGTCGCTGCTGCCGGACGACGCCCGCGCGGCCTCGTCGTCGCCCTCCTCGTCCTCGTCGTCGTCGTCTTCCGACCCAGACGACGACGCGTCGGCGTCGCGGCGCCTGCGCTCCTCCCACTCGGCGACGAGCTCGCGCAACTTGTCGCGCTCGCCTGCCCACGACGCGCGCTCGTCCTGCCACGACCGCTCGAAGCGCTCGCGCCACGCGTCCCAGCGCTGCTCGACCCGGCCCTCGGCCTCGGCGACGCGCGACTCGACGGCCCGTTCGAGCGACACGACGCGCGCCTCGAGCGCCCGGATCGTCTCGCTCGCGGCGGCGTGCTGCGAGCGCAGTGCGGCGCCGAGCGAGGTCGCCTCGTCGAGCTCGGCCGAGAGGGCCTCGAGGCGCGACGAGAGCTTGGCGTTCTGCTCCTGGAGGAGGCGCTCGCGCGCGACGTCGGCGGCGCCGAGGCCGAGGGCTGCTGCGGCGGGAGCCGAGGCGGCAGCGGCGGCGGCGGGAGGCGCGTCGGTCGTGTCGAGGTCGACGGCCGCGGACGAGGACGAGGGCGCAGACGGCTCGTCCTCGTCGGCCTCGGGCGCGTCCTTGGCCGACGACGAGGCCGAAGCCGAAGCGGCGCGCTTCGAGGCGTGCGCGCCGTTGACGCCGCCGCGCGCCATCGACGCCGGCGAGACGGTCTCGACCGACGCGACGCTCGCCGCGTCGTCGTCGACGTCGTCGTGCTCGAGGTCGAGGTCGTCGTCGTCGTCGTCGTCGTCGCGGTCGAGGAGTGCAGCGAGCGGCGACTCGCGACCGTTGGTCCTCCTCGCGCCGGCCGCCCCAGACCTCGCGCCGGCGCCGGCGCCGCCGCGCTCGCGGTGCAGCCGCTCCTCGAGCTCCTCCTCGCGCTCGCGCATCATGCAGCTCATGCTCTCGCGCGCCTCCTCCATCTGGGCCCGGAGGCTGCCCACCTCGCGCTTGATCGTGTCGTGCTCGGCGAGGAGGCCCTCGAGGTCGCGCATCTTGCCGACGTGGCCCTGGAGCGACTGCTGCGTCTCGCCGAGCTGCTGCTGCAGCGCCGCGATCGACTGGGCATGCGCGTCGGCGCTCGCGCTCGTGCCGCGGGGCGGGAAGGCCGAGGCGGACGACGGGCGCGGGCCGCCGGCGTGATGAGGCGGGAGCGGCGGGGGCGCACCGCCGCCGAGCGTGTCGTGCACGACGTTGAGCGTCGAGTTGACGTCGCCGAGGTTGACGCCCGTGTCGCGCGACTTTTGGAGCTCGCCCTGTCGACCGCGCCAAAGCGGGAAAAGGTGCAAGGTCAGGGTCCGTGCGCGCAGTATGTCGCCCCGCCGCCCGAAACAACGACGAGGAGGAGCAAGAGGAGGGAGGGAGAGGAGGAAACGTGGGGCTCAAGACGCACCTGCAACCTGCTGAGGACATGCTCAAAGCTGAGCCCGTTCTGGGCCGACGGGGCCCTCGGCGCCCTCTGGCCCCTCTGGCCGCCCATGCCCATGCCCATGCCGCCCTGGTGCTGCCCCTGCTGCTGCTGCTGCTCGCCCGCCGAGCGGTACCAGTTGTTGATCTCGCGCGAGCTCGCAATGGCGTCCTCGGCGTTGAGGACGAGGTGCACTTTTGCGGCCACCTTGTGGTGCACGATCGTCTTGGTGTCGTCGGTGAGGATGTCGATGCCGAACTCCTGCGGGACGGGAGGGTGGGGCACGAGGACGAGAGGGTGAGCGAGGTTCGCGAGGGCAGAGAGGGGGCCGCGAGAGAGAGGAAGGGCGGGGGAGGAAGGGCGAGAGAGAGAGAGAATGGGACGCACGACAATGTCGTCCGTGTGGAGCTCAAACACGTCGCTCTCGGACGACTCGGGCGACAGGCGCTCGCCGTTGATAAAGGTGCCGTTCGACGACTTGACGTCCTTGATGAAGACCTGTGGTGATGCGCACGAGACGGGCAGTCAGTGCTCGTCGTCTGCCAACACTTTTCACTCGAGCCCCTCTCCCGAGCGAGAGAAAGAGACACAGAGAGAGGGAGGGAGGCAAGAGACGGCGCGACTCACCCTCCCCTCCTCGCTCCACACCTCGGCATGGGCGCGGCTCAACACCTTGGAGTCAAAGTAGCCGTTGGTCCCGTTGGGGATGCTCTTGGCGTTGGTCTGGCGGCCAATCTTGACGCGCGCGCCGACGGGCTCGAGCGAGATCTGCTTGGGCACGAACGTGCCGTTGAGCGGCGTGAGGTGCAGCGCCGGGAAGACGGCGCCGCCGGTTTGCTGCTGCTGCTGATGGTGCTGCTGTTGGTGGTGCTGCTGCTGCTGGTGGTGGTGGGGCTGCTGCTGCTGCTGCGACGAGTGCATCGGCTGCGACCCGGACCCGGACGCTGCCGCCGCCGATCCCGAGGAAGAAGACGACGAAGCCGACGACCCGGTCGACGTCGCCGGTGGCGCCGGCTGCGCAGGCGTGAGCGACGAGGGCGGGCCGGGCCGTCCGCTCGCGCCGTCTGGGTTGAGGCGGCGTGCAGCGGCGGCGACGGGCGGTTTCGGCTGGAAAGCTGTGTGGGGTGGGGTGTGCGGCGAGCGGATCAGTGAGGTGTGCGCGATGGGCCTCGCTACGCGGGAGACGAGGCGGGGGAGGGGACGCACCGTCGTCGCCAGCGGGAGGAGGAGGAGGAGGAGGAGGAGGCGCCGCCGTCGCCCCGAACGCGAACCTCGACGGCGGCTTGATCTTGCGCGCCGTGTCGCCGTCGGCGGTGCCTTGGTGCTGGTCGTGCGGCGGCACCGGGGCCGGTACAGCGGGCGGTGCGGCGCCTCGCGCGGGTGTCGTCGACGACGACGACGACGGGGGAGGGGCAGCACCTCCCGGCCCTGCAGCGGCCGGGCTCTGTGCCGCCGCGGCCTGCGAGGGCGCAGCAAGCGCACTGGGCGGCGGGTCGGCGGGCTCGTCGGTGCTGGTGGTGGTGGTGGTGCTGGTGCTCGTGGGTGGAGGGGCGGCAGCTGGCGCCGGCGGGGGAGCGGCCATCTCGAGCGCGAGGGTGGCGCGGTGCGGGTGCGGGTTGGTCCGAGTGTGCCGAGCGTAGAGCGGGGGGGCTCGACTGGCGCAAGGGGCCGCGAGTGGGTGAGAGGTCGACTGCTGCTCGTCGTCGTCGTCGAGTCTCCTCAGCGCGCGACCCTCGCCCGGCCTCTCAGCGCGCACCAAAGGCCGATTGTGCTCGTGCAGAGTGACGAATGATGCACCTTAGAGAGATTGCGCAAGTCAGACCAGCCGCCCGAGCACCTTTTCCACACTCGCTCCCCTCGGACCTCGGGGCGAACTTGGCTCTCTTGGCTTCGCCGACGCTCAAGTTCCTCTCTAGGTTCTCGCCGCGTCGACGACCGACTCGCACGCTCCCGCGCCCTGCTCGAGGGACGACCCAGTCATTGCAACAAACTGCCCTCCTGCGCTCGCTCGCTCGCTCACGGGCACAGGCGCTCGACGGTCCACGGCTCGCCCTCGTCGGCGCCCTCGCGCCGCGTGTACCGGTACCGGTCATGGAGGCGACTCTCGCGCCCGGCCCAGAACTCGACCTCGAACGGGACGATGCGCACGCCGCCCCAGAACGGCGGGACCGGGATCTGCGGGTCCTTGTCGAGGTCCTTGCCCTCGTCACCGCCAGGACCGGGCCCGGGCGGACCAGCGTCGACGACGGCCGAGCCCGTCGCGGTGCCCTCGGGGACGCCAAAGCGCCGCTCGACGTCCCTCACGCGGCGCTCAAGCTCGTCGCGCGTGCCGGTCGGCAGGACGCCGCTCTGCTCGGACGCCCACGCGCCGATGCGGCTCCCGACCGGGCGCGAGTCAAAGTAGGCCTGGGTCGTCGCGCGGTCGAGCTTCTCGGCGCGGCCGACGACGCGCACGCTGAGGTGCAGCGCGCGCCAGTAAAAGGCGAGAGAGGCGTAGGCGCCCTCGGCGCTCTCGGGCGGGGTGTCGGCGTCGGCGTCGTAGTCCTGGTGGTTGGGGAACAGCTCGCGGCCCTTGCGCGAGGCATAGTTGGTGTAGAAGACAAAGCCGCGGTCGTCGACCTGCTTGAGGAGGACGACGCGGGTCGAGGGTACGGGTCGGTTCGGGTCGACGGTCGAGATGCTCATGGCCTCGGGCTCGGGGACCTTGTCGGGCTGGCTCTGTGCGAGCTTGAACCAGCGCGAGAACTGGGCGAGCGGGTCCCGGTCGAGCGAGGCGGCCGAGGGGATGCCCTGCGAGAGGTACGTCTCGTGGTTGTGGACGGCGGCGAGCGGTTGGGGCTTGGGCGTGCTGGTACTGGCCATGGTGCGGGTGGTGGTGGTGATGGTCGAGGGGCGCAGGTGGGAGGTGAGGCCGGTTGCGGTGCGCTGCTCGATGACGGAAGGACGGCGAAGGGGGGCGGTGAGCTGGTGGGGGCGGGGGGTTCGAGAAAGGGAGAGAGGGGACGGACCAGCATGCACGGGGACGAGGTGGAGCGGTTGGCGGTCGAAGCTCGAGAGCAGAGAGCCGACAGCGAGTGACAAGTCCAAGAGAGAGAGATCGAGGCGATGAGGACGACGACCTCCGAGGCTGTCGACGACCCTCGATCACCTGCTCGCACAGCCTGAGCGCCAACGGCACTGAGCTCACTAGCCGAACCATGCCCTCGCGCTCCCGCCCCAAGCAGCGCAGCAGCCCCGCCGCTCCTCGCCTCCTCGCCTCGTCCTCGTCCTCGCCGTCGCCGCTCCTCTCGGCGCGCTCCTCGCTCGCCGCACCAGCCCTCTCGGTCGACCCACTCGCACCCTCCGACGCGCCCCTCGCACCCGTCCACCGTGCACCAAGCACCGCCTCGTCGTCGTCGTCGTCGGCACCCGCCGCCGCCGCGCCAGGTGGGGGCACCCGCAGCCGCGCCGCGCTGCGCTCCTCGGCGTCGAGCACCGCGAGGACATCGTCTGCGCTCGGTCGGTCTGCCACACCGAGCGCACACGCCGACGACGACGAGGACGGCCACGGCGCGGCGCTCAGCCGGGCGTCGAGCAGCTCGAGCCTCGACGGCCTCGCTGCACGGCTCGAGGGCGCACGCAGGGGCAAGGGCAAGGGCAGGGAGCGCGATCCGTCGCCGTCCTCGCCAGCAGCAGCGGCCAAGGGCAAAGCGCGCCTCGTCGACCTTCCTCCTCCTCCATCACCACCGGCGCCGGCTACCGTCGACGGCGACACCGAGCGCGCCGACTCGCCCGCCGCCGCCGCCTCGACGAGCTACGACCTCGCGCGCCTGTCGCCTTCGACCTCGACCTCGCCGCTCCCGACCTGGCCCTCCTCGCCCTCCTCCTCCTCCGCCGCCGCCGCCGCGTTCCAGCGCCCTTCCTCGCCCTCGCCCTCGGCGCTCAACGACCCCGAAGACGACGACGACGACGACGCCTCCTCCTCCTCCTCCGAGCCCGACGACGACGAGCGCGACGACGAGCCCGTCCCCGTGTCGCGCTCCGATGCCCACCCCGACCCGCGCTCGCTCCTGCGCGCCCAGCTCGCGCGCGCACCCTCCTCTTCCTCCTCTCCCTCCTCCCCTGCTGCCCGATCCCGCTCTCGTCCGCCACCAAGAGCTGCGAGCGCGAGCGACGAGCGCGCGCCGAGCGCTGAGCGCACGGTGCGCCCCGCCACCGACGGGTCGGGGAGCGCATGGAGGAGGAGGAGGTACTTTGTCCTGTCGACGGCGGGCAAGCTCGTGTATACTTCGTGCGCCCCTCTCTCTCTCCCTCCCTCTCTCGGCGTGCGCGTCGTGAGGATCAAGGACAGGGCCGCTGACCCGGCTCGACCGAGCGCGGCACGCGCAGGGACGACGACGAGGAGGCCGCGACTGGGTTGGTCGGCGTCA